CGACTTAGTAAATTGGAAATATTAAGTATTGAAAAAGACGTACTTAATACCTTAAATTTTGACAGTTTAATTGATGTATTTGCAGCAGCAAAAGCACGAAAGGTTCATATAATGTAACCACGAATACCAGAATGCTACCTGTACAAGATATAGTTAAGTATATGTACAGTTTTGTAAACTAATAAAATTTGTTATTTGTAAACTTAGTAGTATTTTATCAATCTGTTTTACAATCCATGTACACCACAAGTGACTGGCTTCTCATATAAGTTTCAAAACTAGGGATATAACAGACATTTATTCTGCATGCTTGAAAGATTACTCTAGATATGTAACTTTGAACAATACTGGATGACAAAAATATCAAAATGGTTTACAAATTATGTAAGTACATCTAGTAGGCTATACTTCATTAGTTCCAGGTTTACAATTTTGATATCGTGAGATGTTATATTGTTACTTTATTTTAGGCCTGTGTAAGGCGGTAATTAATTCTTTAAGTTATTGTCATTAAGTTGGTAATGAGTCACAAAACAAATAATCAAAACATTTCAGGGGGGGGGGGGCAAAAGTGTCTTTGCCCCCAGGTGCTGAGAACCCTTGCTACACCACTGTATCAGTGGGCTCTATTATATAAAAAAGTTAGACCATTTCTCCCTTTTATATTTAAGAATGATAATTCATACAACAACAAGAAGCAGTGTAAGGAAATAATTCAAAATATCTTCAACAAACAAGAAAAAATCAAAAATGCTTTCTTTCAAAAACTCAACATTGTAAACCACCATTTTAATTACATCTTTTTAAGGCTAATAGGCATCCAACAAACAAACTTACCTCTGGAATTGGGGCATTTAACCCAGGAATCTTCAAGTTAGGATAGGAAGGAGGAGGTCCATATCTCTGCATGGCAATAAGCCAAGGAGGTGGACATTTGTTTGCATTCTAGAAGAAAAAAAAGCATAGTACTTGGGCACATTTCTAATGATTATATTAAACAAAACTACAAAGTTGATCATTTCAAAGCTAAAAGTAGCCACAGAAAAATTACACAGTTCATTTCTTTAACAGTTATTCTGCTGTGCTTATGATCTAAAAATATTTCTAAAAATACAAGTAAACAGCAGTGTTTACATAACAATACTAATAAGTCAATACAAATGATAATATAATCCATATAAAATAGAAATGAATAAAAACCCTATAACCTGAGTACTTTTGAAAGGTGGACATTTCTTCTTCGGGGGCAAACTGAAGAAGAAAGGCCCAACTTTCAAAAGCACTCAGGTTATGGGGTTTTTATTCATTTCTATCAATACTTCTTGAACCTACGTGTTTTTCTAATACCATGAATCCTTATGACTTCATATTATCGATATATAAAACATGAAATAAAAGATCATCCATTAAACTGGATAATTATAAAGAAATTCCCGTATTTAAATTATTATATCTTAAAAAAAAACCATTTGCTCTAAGGAAGGGACTCTCAAACTTTTCACACTCTGGAAACACATTTCGTTAAAGTAAACAACTCAATATCCTTCCCTCCCATTTACTAGGTAATTCCAAATCAAGAGAGAATAAGTATCATTCTAGCCAAAAATCCTAGTATGATAATACCATTCAACATATAAATATTCCATAACTTTGAACCGTTAAATGCTAAAAAAAAGAAAAACATTTTAAAAAGGCTTATTGTATCTTACCAATTCCTCATCAAAGGTTTCAGAGCACCTCTTCTAGGGGGAATTAAATTTCACAAGAGACATATCACTGAGAATCAAAATGTATTCAGTAAAGTTTGGACCTGGTACAGACATTTTCACAAATAGTCACAGAAAAATCAATGATCTGAATTTCTGATATTGTTATGGATCAAGAAAAATAAATTTAGTTTAAATTAAAAGTTAAATCAACTTACAGGTCCAACGGGCATTCCAAGTGCTGTTCGTAGTTCATCACTGAAATCTCCTGGCTTCTTTTCTTTCAGTTTTGTCTCAAATTCTTTTCCCTTTATGTATTAAGAAACAAATTTTAAAGTATATCATTGTATCATTAATTACTTAAAATAAATGGATATACACAAGCAGTTATTTAATGTATAATGATGCTCATCTCAATTTAGTGGACATCCCTCACACCATTTTACAGATTTACACATAGTTCAAGTTAAATATACTTCTTTCCATTGTAAAATCAGAGACAACCCCTTAAAAACAGTTTAATATATGAATTGTGTATGATTCTGAAAACAATACTACTCAATGATTCAAACTGATATAACCTTGTGACTTACCATCACTGTTGTAAATTCATTATCAAACACTACCACAGTGTTGCAGTATTCTGTATTATGACAACTCACACAGTGTTGCAGTGTCCAATAGTATGGCATGTCACATGATGTTGCAGTGTCCTATATTTATTATGACACATAACAATGTTGTAGTGTCCTATATTATGACATGTCACATGATGTTGCAGTATCCTATATTTATTATAACATGTCATATGAAGTTGTAGTACCCAAAAGTATGGTATGTTAAATTATATTGAAATGTGTTTATTTATGATATATCACATGATGTTGCAGTAACCTATGTTATGGTAAATTCAATGATATTGTAGTCTTATATTTATGACATCACATGCAGTTGTGATGCCCAAAAGTATGGTATGATAAATGATGCTGTAGTCTTATATTTATGACATGTCATATTATGTTGCAGTACCCCATAGCATGGTATGTTAAATGATGTTGAAGTGTCTTTATTTATGACATATCATATGATGTTGCATTACCCTATATTATGGTATGTTAAATGATGTTGAAGTGTCTTTGTTTATGACATATCGTATGATGTTGCATTACCTATATTATGGTATGTTAAATGACGTTGAAATGTCTTTATTTATGACATATCACATGATGTTGTATTACCCTATATTATGGTATGTTAAATGACGTTGAAATGTCTTTATTTATGACATATCACATGATGTTGTATTACCCTATATTATGGTATGTTAAATGATGTTGAAATGTCTTTATTTATGACATATCACATGATGTTGTATTACCCTATATTATGGTATGTTAAATGATGTTGAAATGTCTTTATTTATGACATATCACATGATGTTGTATTACCCTATATTATGGTATGTTAAATGATGTTGAA